AAGTAAACGATCATTAGAAGATAATAGATGGACCTGCATCACAGTTTAGTCACGTTCTCCATGTAGTCTTATTTTTTTAACATTTTTAGTATCTTATATTTGCTCATCGTCATTGTTAGAAGACTGATGTGTCATAAGTAATTTTGTATAATGAATTAAAATAAAAATCTAAATACTTTACGAGTAATTTGTTTCTTATTATTGTTCGCAATTGGCAGATTGGTTTATTTCTTATGTTCCAGTCCAAATTCCGTTAATAATATTATACAAATAAAATGTGATTAATATAAAAGCAATATCAGTGCTTTTCCGGTTATACAAGTTGAAAAAGAAGTGCCTAATATGATGAGATTCATTAAACCTAGGTATCAAATTTTTTGTTTGACGAAATGCACCAAACAAGAGCCTTTAGGAACATATGAAATGTACATGAGCTATGAAACTTTAGGTAACGTGTGTGGAATGAATAATTTACAGTGGCGTCCATGTATACTTGTGGGGCCAGCTGGAGAATAATGGTATAGAGTAGATAGTATTTACTAAGCATACTTTATGAACACACATATTCAGTAATACACTTTAATTGTGTCAGGTTTACATTTTCTTTGGATTGACATCTGCGCTTATATGTTTTATCCCTTGCATCGTGCACAAAAGCCTGGTTTGCATCATTCATCGCTTGTGTTATGTCTTTTTTTCTTTAGGACAGATTGAACTTTCGAACTGTAAGCACAGGGCATCTAACCAAAGGCGTTCACTGTAATGTTGACTTACTGCGAGTTGTTTTGTAGAATGTGATGATTTATATCCATTTTACTTTCAGTTCCATGTAGGGTATAAATAATACCAAGTTCTGACGTCAATATGTAAGCAAAAATCGCCTTCGTAAACATTTTTAAGATGAATACCAAAGATCTCTGATAATTTTGTCACCTTAAATTTTCTAAACAACTTACAAACTGATAATGGGATTCTTGTTTCTGCAATACAGCTTCTAAAGTGCTGATTTCTCCGTGTGTTTTCAACAGAAATCTCAAAGATCATACTGCAAGTATTCCTGTCCATTACATCGGTGGATGATAATGTGCACATTCATCTTATTGATATAATTAGACAGTTCTGATCGCTTTCACAATTAGTAGACAAGCGATATTGCAAATGTGGGACTTTTCAGAATAGAATTAAGTATTAATAAAGCTTACTCGTTAATAACATCATTTGAAGTAAAAGCTAGTGGTGTGAAGACTTGTTTTGAAAGAACTTAATGTATACTTAGCGATTGGTGAGAAGTTACCAGTCAAGATATTGACGATCGAAAACTAAATTGGGATCCATCCTCCTGTAGTTCTTCAAAGATGGATATGTAATCATTCATTTTTCGTTTAACAGCTCCAACAATTGTTCTATTGCATAAAATCATCACTTCACCTCTTAGAGTCTTCAGTTTGACACGGTAGCTTGTCAACTGGGTTTGCATTAAAGGCGTAGTAACCGAGGGTTTCAGTAAATACTACCTTCGATCCCTTGGCTACCTGGAAGTCATCTAAAAGAAGTATGTTTCATGTATTCACAGCTTACCGCAATACAAACATGTATATCTGTATCGTTACCGTACAAAATTCGGAACAAAGTTGACATGGACGAGAACTGATTTTCTATCATTTGTGTGGATCTGCATTGGAATTATTTCTCTATAGACTGTCTGTCATCATTTAGCAAATAGATGGGATAAAACGCTAGTAATTTGCTTAGTGAGTACACTGTGCACTGCATACTGAAGAGCGCTATAAGTAAGCACAATATATCTACTAACTGTTTGTAAAGAGGAATTCAAACAGAGATCGGACAACCTGTACAATTATGTCGATCTGAATGTCACAGAAATGCAGGTTGGGTGGATTCAAGTTTATTTAATCTTCTACAAACACCTTTGTAGCTAGTCGCAGAAACAATTTCTTAGATAAATGTACGTAAATAAGTTCGGTCAAGCACTAACTGTTATTGTCCTTTTCTGCATCAGCGCCCGTTGGCAGTTTAACCGCTGAACTGTTGGAACTGTAAGTGTTAGATATATATCTTCAGCAAACAGACTCAAGGGATAAATTTGTAATACCTCTAGTTTGTTAAACAATCTCTCTGTATTTCAGAAAGCGAAGGATACCAGACAAATGGTTGATAACTATAAGACATCTCTTAGATATGTCCTGACTTGTATCATGCAACCAAAACTAGGTAACAAATTTCCGTTCTGACCGTGGCTCCTACCGTGACATGGTGGTCGAACTTGTATACCTTCGTAACCCAATTGAGGTATATTGGATGGGACTCTCGCCCCTTCAGATTCTTTGATGCCAAGCAGGTTGGTTGGAGAGTAGTAATACGAAAAGCAGCAAACTCATGGACTGAGGGCAAAGTTGTACTGTTCACTGCACAGAGGTGTGACGGCAGTAAGGTATTTTCCTCAGAAATACAGCATCCGCAGCAATGTTGTCTTCCCATAACAGATTGATCTAGAAAAGATCAGCCCTAAAAATGTCACACTCACCTTTCTACAGATTACCGTCTCCAGCGATTAAGGCCTTAAAACTGCGGAGCCATCTCATCTGAAACGACTAAAATAAGAGTGTGCAACCAGCCATAATCAGTTGTCCTTTGGCACTACGCTCGTGCCCTTAGTTTGTCAAGACTGCTCCTAGCCTGGCTTTTTCGGGTACCTCATGAAGTATCTTAATACGATGTGGGTAACCGCGAATTGAAAATCCTCCTACCTTTAACGGCATGTAAAATCACATGTTCGTAATTAAACTACGAAACTAGATTTATATTACTTAGGACTACTTAAAAAGAGTTTTCAACTGTCGATTTTATTAAAGCATAGAGTAAAACTGCTTTTTGTGAGTCTCGATCACTAGGCCTACTGATATTTGAATTCTTATCAGATTGTGTAAATAAGATCTTACAAAAAGTCACATCTCAACTCAAGGTTTCTTTCATGATATGAGGGACGAACCGAAAATAAGTTATTTTGGAAGGAAAGGTTATGTAGTTAGCAACATATATCCGTCGTGTCCTCCAGCTGCATGGGTCTACTTTGTAGGAAAACTGACTATTATCCAAGAGTATTCAGAAAGACACTGGTCGGCTGCATTCTCACTTAATCGACACCAAATCCCCTTGTGGAGTTCCGCCCTTATTCGGTTGCTTTGAAGCTAGACACATTAAATGTAGTTGAAGCATTATACAGTTTACGTTTCTGTCAGTAATCAAATTAATACTAATCGTCCGATTCAATTTTTCTACTTATAGGCCCAATATAATATAAATTAATATGATCATTGTAATTATGGGACCATGTGGTTGCGGAAAATCAACAGTAGGAAATTCGTTGGCGATTCGAACTAACTGGCCATTTATAGAAGGTGATGACTATCATTCTGATAGTAATCGATTTAAAACGTCTATGGGAATTCCGCTGAATGATGAAGATCGTTTGCCATGGCTTCTGTCCCTAAGAAATGAGTTAATGCAACACAAGAATGCCATATTAGCATGCAGTGCTTTGAAAAAGTCGTACCGAAATATTTTATCCAGTAGCAACGATGCAAATTATCAAACAAGAACACTTTTTGTGTTGCTAAGTGCAAATAAAAGTCTGCTACAGAAACGCGTCAGTGAACGCAAGGGACATTTTGCACACCCTTCACTTATAGAAAGTCAGTTAGAAACATTGGAGTCATTTGGAGAAGATGAAGAATATCTTGTTATTGATGCTAGTAACTCTCTTACGGATATTACTCAACAGATTATCAATAGTTTGTCCACAGGAGAACATTTTAAACAATAAGCTTACTCCATGTATACAAATAAATCGAGACGACCCAATAAAAGCGTCACAATTCTGGAAATTTTCACATTTAGGACAGTTCAGATTTCGAAATTTCCAATGAGAAGCATACGCTCAGTTATAAATAGTACTGTAGAGTAAGTAAAAGCTACGTAGTAGCATTTTCTAAGAAATTCTTCAGTCCAATAACTGTTATTTACATAAGAGTATTTATAAATGAAACCGATAATTTATATGACATGATGTTTGTCAAAAATCAAATGAAGTGTTGATTTGATTTGTTTACATTAAATTGGAAACTTTTTACTCTGAATATTTCGGCAAACACCAGTTTATGAAAATTCAGTTCAGAAAACTCACAAAAAAGTCTTAGTAAAAGCTATCTCATTTCGACGTAGTTTTTTTTGATACAGTGTTATGAAAAGTTCCTACATGTTGACTAGATTAGATGCTAACTAAGCTAACAGTTACTTCTCACATCTGGTAACCCTGGAATTCATATAGCAAACATACAGTATGAGTAATCAGCTCTGTAGACTAAGCAGTTTGTATGCTGAAACAAATTTTACAATAGATAACATCTACACGGTATGGGGTCAAGAGAAATACTCAGTTCACGATAATAATTTTTTTTACCGATTTAAGTCATGAGTCAGTTGATGCTAGACCACCATTGAAAACGTGGAAGCACTGGACGGCCGTTTCGTCCTGGTATGGGACTCCTCAGCGGTGCGCATCCACGATCCCGCACCACGCGGGGCTCGAACCCAGGACCTACTGGCTTCGCGCGCGAGCACTTAACCATTAGACCACTGAGCCGGCATCCAAAGGTGTTAATGTCTAACTTCAACCAATCCACGAAGTTGCGCTACCGTACACCATTGTCTTCAGTGAGTTCCTATCTCACAACAGACCTGGTTGAACTCCTTCTGATAATTATTTTGTAATCAATCATTTTTTTCTTGGTGTGATCCGATAATGTCATTGGAGTGTTTTTGTACTAGTACAATTTAATCTCTGAATTACTACTCATATGAAACCATACAGTATACAAATTCGTTTGTTTTTAAACTAGTGAAGTAAACATTGTTCTCGAGTCAATATTGATACATACTTTCTATGCACAAACCCGACTACTCGAAAGAAAAAATGGAGAGCGAGGAAGAAAGTTTATTTAACTAGACTGAATGGACTGTATGTGAACTCATTTATTGATTCGTTCTTTAGGAAATCAAACCTATCAGTGGTTTATATTTTATTCCTTGAAAAATAAAGCCATTTGTTGGTCAACCACATGCACTTATCATTTGGCGATTTCTGATTGGTACACTATGAAAAACTTCATAAATAGGAATTACATACCTTTAATGTAGTGTATCACGGTGAAGACAAACTAAAATATGAAAATATGTACAGCCTTCATATTTCTACAAGTCACTGTTCAACATCTTTTTCAGCATCTGAATCGCTTGACAAATCGCTATTTAGTCGATCAGCAAGGTGGTCAAGTTTACGAATTGATTCGTTGAGATCTAAAATGTGAGGAAGTTAAGCGACTTAAAACAAACCTACCAATATGGCTTGCAAATGTAGGTACTATTGGACTCGTCATTTTTTGAATAACATTTGGTGACTTCGCTGTATTGTTACCATAGCAGTGATAATGTTCTGGATAAAACGAATGAAGTGCATTCTCCAGAGTTTGAATTTTGGATTTGTAGGTATTCTCAATACTATTGATCTATGTGTTGAACCAATGAAGAAAAAACTGTGATAAAAAGTGGGAGAATTGTCTACAATCGATTTGCCTTTTGATGTATCTCACTAGTCTAAGACATCCATCTAATTTTATACACAAGTTATATCCCTATGACAATTGTGTCTTGGAAGTACTAGATCTATGTCCAATGTACAGTTACAACATAAGACAAATGTTACTACATGGGACTAAATACACAGGAAGAAAGTAACTAGAACCTGGAACGAAAGTTTTTCGGCTTCAACATAACACCTGTGTAAAGTAAAAAAATAGAAGAACGAAAGCAATGAAAAAAAACAGGAAATGGTCTAGTAGCACCTGAGAGTCGGAGGAAAGTAGTGATACATCTGTGCCACTAGCAGCTCCTGAGTTATATCACCTGACAACTTAGACTTGAAACGTTTTACTGACCCATCTGAAAAGTTAGAGCACTTGGATCCGACCAACGATAACATCATTAATTGATGTCATATTTTGTTGTGAAAAGCCTCTTCCCCTCCGAAACTAATTTTATGTCAGAAAAAATAGTGAATTAAAATAGGTGGTGTTTGGATATAAGTATATAAAGTACACAAAATAACTACTTCGATAAACTGAAAAATTCTATCTTAGCTTGTATTGATGTCAGATATGAGTCATTTGCAGGCAATGTCCTTAATTATATGACCACACAAACGTAAACTGTAATTCTATTATATCAAGTAATAACAGAAGCACAGTGTCAAAAAAAATGTTTAATATAAGCAACTATTATATTCAGATAAGGCTCGTAATAACCTAGAATCATATTAAGAAAGATAAAAGAATATTATTTACAATAAAATAGGTAGTGTCACTGAAAATTAACATTCTTAATAACGGGAATAAGTCTTAATCTGAAATGGATTTCTTATGAGTATTGTAATGAAACTACGTTGAGTCTAATCGTGTACAGACACATCATCTGTCTTTAAAGGTTAACAATTGAGAACGTTCAGATTTTATAGTTTGAAGTTAAGTAAATTTACTACTTCGAAGGATACCTTAATTAGTAAACTTGTCTGTTTTCTACATTTTATAAAATATGATAATAAATTGTTTGTAATCCGTACAAATCTCTTTAACTTTATAAGAAACGAAAACAACATTTTAAAATCACCTGTAACTTTCTTTCATTAATTTCTCGATCTACACGGCGTTCAGCCCGACGTAGTTCCGTTAAAGCTTTGGTAAGCTTCATATCCGTTTCGGAGAGTTGAGTTTTTAAATGTTCAATTTCATCTGTATACTTTTGTTTGAGATCATTATTAATTAATTTTTCACTATTTAATTGATCTGAACATTCTTTTAATTTCTAATATGAGAATTAAATTGTAAAGTAACAATATTATTTAAAGTTGGAATTAATATTTAAAACATTTGTGAAGGCTTTTACTTCATTGTATTTATATTGCTATTGGAATAAATTTAATAGATATGGTAAAAAGAAAAGATAAGTTAGTTAACCGTAAGAATAAAAAAAAACTCTTGTTCAAGTACTTAAAAACTGGGAAATTGTCTAGATGATTTAGATAACTTTGTACTACTTACTTATAACTGAACTTATATATATTTCTTAGCGATGGGAAATCATATTTTTTAAAAAAATTTTGATGATATAGTGGAATGAATTTTGCACTGTTTGGATAGTCTCTTTTAAGGGATGAATTTTCATAGAACAAGACTGTAAATAGTGTAAACCGATAAAATTCAAAGAAAAAAAACTTATTTTATTTATACTGAGAAAACATCAACTCCCAAATTGATGAGCACTGAAGCAATGACTAGTGCACACAGTGAATTAATTTTACTTCGTTCCATTGAAGTATAGTTTGTACAACATTGAGATGAGAAACGTTCATACATAAAAATACAGTAATGGAATGTTGGATACGTAGTACCAAACAGGTTTCATGATTTAACCAGATTTTAATGATGAATTACTGAGAGGGAGGTAGAGAGTTTAAATAAAAGAAATAAGTAATTATAACTTTGATCAGTCTTATCTGACTAGTAAAAAAAGGTGTCACTAACAAGTATTCAGCTGGTCATTATCGTCATTTTACAAATTAATAAAAATAACACAGTAACCAAAAATATTTCGCCCATCTAGTAAGAAACATTTGCATAGATAGAACTAATAGAATTGGTGGTGTAGTTCTAACTAGACTATTCACTTTACATTTTAGATGAAACATTTTGCGTAATAGCATACGGATAATTAATGATTCACAGAATAATGTTAAATTGGGAACCGCTTAACTGAAAACAAAATATCGAAGCTATTATTGAAAAACAATTTTCTACACTCAGGTATCTTGAGAAATGGCAAATAAAAAAAACATCGCTATGAGCGTTTACAGACATTTATTATTATATTCAAGTGTTTACCGTTGAGTGTACACGTATTAGAAATGAATAGAATATATAGCACTGTTACGATGTAAAGAAGTGAATGATTATTGGTTAATTTGGGACGTTGATACTTATTCTTGATCAACCATTTCTTTTAATTAACCATCCTATTGAGCAACTCAGTCGTAGACATACTGTTTGGGTTGAATATTTTATACAATAAATTTAAAAGTTATACATAAGCTGTATAAAAAAATTTAATATTAAGAGACTAAGTATTGTAATATATATTGTAAACTTCTGAACAATTTTTAGAATATAATTATATCCATATTCAGAATGGGTTTTTTGTGGAGAGTTTAAGAAATTTCACAAGTTGAAATCATGAGTCAGTTGAAGCTAGACCACCATTGAAAACCTGGAAGCACTGGACGGCCGTTTCGTCCTGGTATGGGACTCCTCAGCAGTGCGCATCCACGATCTCGCACCACGCGGGGCTCGAACCCAGGACCTACTGGCTTCGTGCGCGAGCACTTAACCACTAGACCACTGAGCCGGCATCCAACGGCTCATGATTTCAACTTGTTATATCCATATGTAAAACGACTGATAGACTATTTAGAATTGATTCATTTATAGGGATCTTATATACATTGTGTAGACACTACATACAAACGAAATTATTTTTCACTATAAAAACATAAAACTTTAACTTTTAATAACCAATATTTGGCGTACATTTCTCTACAAGATCCATTCCTATACTAATTAGTCTCTGAGTTTAAATAAATCACTTTGATGTTAAGTGATAAGAAGCAATCTGTAGAAAGTTTTTAACGTACATTTTATGCTGTTTGATACTCTGAATAAATTGGATTTGTAATCTTGAAGGGAATGATACTGCTTTAGAAGAATAAGTCACTTAGAACTGTAACTAGAAAGGTTACTACTGAACTATTCCGATCACTATTGATCTCCTACTTTCAGGACTGATATGTTTACATTAATTAGTGAGTAGTAACCATTATTTAGTTTTATTCAATAAAAATAACTGACCTTTTGTTCATCATGTAAAGATAAATTCAAAATTCTGTTTGCTTCCCGAAGTTCTGATAATTCTTTTTCAACTAAGAACAGATAAGGTAAAATTAACAGTAGGATAAGTCCGCTTTATAAATATAATTATTTTTTAATGTACAATTACAGGACATTTAATGTGATATGTGGGATAAAGGAAAATATTCTGTTAAATATATGAATACACATGTAATGATGACTCTCGTACTTCCAGAATGACTTAAAAATTAGATATGAATAGATCAAACTTAGGATATCATACAATCAAAATCTAAGACAAACCTGCTTTCTCAGCATCTTGAACACGATTATCAAATGATTTAACATAATCGGACAACTGTTCTAATGCTCGATCACGCTCTTTTATAGCCCTAAGGGCCTCGGTTTGAGCCTGAGAAATAATCCTATTAAAAAAGTGGAAATTACACACACTGTGATTATTATATAGTACTTTTATGACTATGAAAAGAAATCTAGCATATCAATTTTTGTTGCATAGAAAACAAAATATATCGTTGATGAATTGGAATCGCTCAAAAAGCTATGGGAATATGAATGTCATTATTTTATTATGCAAGGACATATAGGTAAGCCAGATTAAATTTGGTTGATTATTGCTCAGCGTTCTTGTCACATCTAATTGAGACCATAAACTTACTAAAATACAACTTTTTTGTTCTTTTACGGGATTTTGATTTTCAATGCAAAAAGAAAATAAAGTTCCTTTTTATGCATTTTACACACTTTTTTTATCATAAACAAAATATAGACAATATTCTTCAGAGTAGCTGCCATTTTGTTTTATAAAGTCTAAGACTTTTTTCAAGAGAAACGCTAAATCATCGTTATGCGTGGCGGAAGATCGGAAGATTCAAAGAGATTGGGCAGGTTAATGAAAGACTAATAATATTCGAACATCTGTTATAAATCACAAACATCAGTTATTATCTAATTACAACAAAAGAATAAATTTTTCTGTAAATTTGTAAATATTAAGTTGATAGGAATTTAAATGGAACCGACTTTGACTTACTCTTCTTTCTCTGATTCTGATAAAATATCACCAATCCAATGTTTTAATTCGTAGTTGACTTGCGTTGACTGGTCTACATCTGCTTTCCGGTGTGATAATGATGATGATAATAATAAACGAGTGCGTAGAACAGGAAGACGAGAGTTAGCAAATTCTAAACGCCTTTCTAAATGTCTTAAACGACGAAAAACTGAACATATTGTTATTGGAGTTTGTTGACTCAGTGAACCGGATTCTGGCCAATTCATAAACGTTTGTATAGCTTTTACAATTTGATCAAGATTTTGTTTTGTATTTAAAGCGAATTTCTTGTAATTCTCACGAGATTCTGTTAAATTTGATTGAGTCATTGCTAATTTTGAGTGTAAACTTTCCAAATCTTTTTCGAATCCCTAATAACAAAAATTAGCGAATAGAATTACTTTGAGAAATATGATAATGAAATTAAGGAATTATTTTCCAATGGTATTTATCGTACAACTTATCAAAAACATCAACTCATTAATATATATATCAAAGTAGCCTTATTAATTCATTTTATGAGGATTTTGTGTTTATTGACTGTACTACTCAAACAAAAACATTTGAATTTGTATTTTTTCTGTTGTTGATGTTAAGAATTAGGATGGACCAGTTACTTTCGGCATAAAGTGTACACTAACTAGTTTGTCTTGATATTTCTATATGGTTGCAAGCTAGATCAAAGTTAGATTTTGGGTAGCAGTTGAATCCAGAAAGAGGACTTATTACTCGTCAGTTGAATTCACACGAAATCCCCGTGATATTCATACTTTCCATATCTAATGAACACAGTGGAAATTTGAACTCTGTAATTTAGTGAACAACGTATCGGGGTTAAAAATGATAGGTATTGGGCTGGAGTCCCAGTGTGAACTTCAGCACCGGAATAAAAGTGCGTCCAGCTAACATATGTTTTGGCTTTCACTGCTGGTTATAGTCCAACTTCATTAAAAGATGACTGAAGTTTAGCACTATAAGGAAGGTGGACGGTTTACACGAAATCAATATGTAGTTGAAGATTGATTTCATTTTTTATATAAAGTGATAAAGAATTATACGAACAACTAATTGGAGCCATGACTCTATTCAGGGACGTTGTCCACTAAATAAAACTTTAGTTGTCTTCTAACTACCGTCTTATCGAAACGAAGTATCTACTCTGGCTAAACAAAGACATATTTTGAAGAACATATCTCACATACTTTAATTGGTTTATGAAAAACTAGTATATTACAAAAATATAAACGAAATTATATACTTTCTATAACATTTAAATGATTGGAAAGGGGCACAGTAAAGGAACGGAATACTGATTTATTCATTGATTGAAATTACTAACCAAGTGCAGGTTCATGTGGTAAATTTTAAACCGATCGTATTGTTTTGGGATTTATAACTATAAACTGGTCTCTCTATATGAAATACATCTATTGGGATTTGAACATACTAAACAAGATATTCATATATATGATGAAGCATACAGAATCAACTATTAAGTCAATATTTTTTTGATTTACTGGTGAGAAATATAAGTTTGGACAGTTAACTAAAGTAGTAATCACTAGCCAGTTTACTTACTTTCACCTGTTACCCCTCGTCGAGGAGCATAGGCCGCCCACCAGCATTCTCCATCCAACTCTGTCGTGGCCAATCCTTTCCAGTCGCTATTCATCCTTTTCATGTCTGCTTCCAATTCTTGACGCAGCGTGTTCTTTGCCCTTCCTCTTTTTCGTTTCCCTTTAGAATTCCAAGTTAGCGCTTGCCTCGTGATGCAGTTTGATGATTGCCTTAATGTGTGTTCTATCCATCACGAGCGTCTCTTAATTTCCTCTTCGACTGGAAGCTGGTTTGTTCTAGGTTGTTGCTGATGGTATCCGATCAACGGACATTGAGTATCTTACGTAGACAGCTGTTTATAAATACTTGTACATTTTTGGTAATGGTTGTGGTAATTCTCAAAGTTTTATCTCCGTACACTAGAAATTTCATGACGTTCGTATTGAAGATTGCCTGATTTCTTCGATCGTTGGTGGAGTGACATCTATAAGAAGGTCTGTGTGTGCTGCTTCGATGTTCGTTGGATTCAACGAAGCTGGTCCATTCAAGAGTTCCTCGAAGTGCTCCTCCGATCTGTTCCTCTGTTCTTGAATCTCGGTGGTGGTCTTGCCTTCTTTGTCCATAACGAGTCTCTCTGGTTTACTATATATCCCTGTCAGTTTGTTCGTTGTCATACAATTGTTTCATATTTCCTTCTGTTAATGCTTTCCCCGGTGTCGCTGCTAGGTCTTCCAGGTATTTTTGCTTGTCGGCTCTAATGCTCTTCTTCACTTGCTTGTTTGCTTCGGTGTATTCAGCTTGTGTCTTGACTTTATCTGCTCTTGTTTGGCTGTTATTAATTGTTGTCTTTTTGTTCTTCATTTCTTGAATCCTGTTCAGGGTTTCCATAAAGATCCATTCCTTATGACGATGCTTCTTTTGGTCCAGAACCTCCTGACATGTTGAAGTTGGAGCTTTCTTGATCCCTTTCTAGTTGTCCTCCATGGCAGTTTCTTCTTTAAATAGATCCTGTAAGGATAGGCGCCTGTTATTGAGAGTTATCTTGAATTCATTACGTTTGTCAGTATCTCGAAGGACGACTGTATTGAACCATTTTAATACTATTTGTTCAGTTTTCCAATGCTTCTTTAGCTTCAATTTCGTCTTGGCAACCACCAAGTGGTGATCTGAGGCTATGTCAGTTCCTCTCCTGGTTCTTACGTCTTCAATTGTCCTTCTGAATTTTCTATTGGTACAAATATGATCTGTCTGATTCTCCGTGATGTGGTCCGGTGAGACCCATATAGCTTTGTGTATGTGTTTGTGTGAGAATATTGTGCCGCCTATAACCAATTTTTTGAGTGAACATAGATTTTCGAATCTCTCGCCATTCTTTTTCCTTTCTCCCAACCAGTCTATGTCGTCCCATAATATCTTCATAACTGTTGTTCTCCATTCCGACTTTGGTGTTTAGATTTCCAATTAGGATTGTCAGGTCCTTTCCTGAGCACTTCTCTATAATAAACTGCAGCCTCGAGTAGAACTGATCTTTATCGTCATCATTGCTATCATAGGTGGGTGCATAACATTCATTGTAATGCCCTCTTCCTTTGTTTTGAAGGATGCTTTGATGATCCTGGATACACAAGGTTCCCATACTATATGTACATTGCGTGCTTCTTTGACAGCATTAGAGCAACTCCCTGCGTGTGTGGAGCATTTTCCTCCTCGTGACCGGAGTGCAGCGGAATCTCTCCCGCACCTAACCTTTGATGTTTAGCTTGGGTCCAATGGGATTCGCCGATTCCGAGGACCGCCAAGATGTATTGCCTCATTTCCGTTGTTATTTGACTGGACCATACTTTCACAACCATGGTATTATTATTCGGGAAGTTTCCTTTTTCTGAGTATACGTTATGATATTGAATCTAATAGCGTATACTAGTTTTAATCAACACGAAAAGTATAAAATTTCAATTATTGAATTTCGCTATTATTTCGTACAGATAAAACTTCTACTTACCTGTCTTTTATTACGTTCTACGTTCAGTGCAGAATCGCTAGCTTTCAGTTTAAATTCAGTTGCTTCTAAAGTTGCTTTTAAAGATTCAAATTCTGAAAGTAGCTTTTCATAGGCACACTTTGATTTTGTTACAGTATGAGAATTTTCAGACTTAAGATTTTCTATTTCAATAAGTAAGCGTAAAACATGTTTACGCCATGTGCAAAGTAAATTTTCCACTTTTCCAGACCTAATTTAAATTTATATTTGCAAAATGAATCTATACTGTACATGGGAATTATTAATATAACTGAAATGAGGCATCTAAATTACCAAATGATAGTCAAAAATAAATACAATTTGACCATGTGATATTTAGATATGAATTCAATACGATAGATTATGCAAGGAAATGATGATTTATCTTTGGTAAAAGAGCTACAGACTTAACAACTAGGTATATATATGATGATAGTTCAGCTTGTGAGAATTAAAAAGATATTTTCAGAGAAAAAAACTCCAACTTAAATTTCAATAAAAGGATGTGAATATAAGTGAACGTGTCACAAGTGTGTGTATGAAGAGAAAATCCAGTTACACAAGGGATGCTTTGTATTTTTCTGACGTAAAGCTTTATTATTATTAACGTCAATTGATGTGAGTTGGTGTTTTCTGCCTTCCTGGTTTAAGTATGTATATACACTTCTTAGAAAAGTCACGTTTTTCGACTTCATATGCAAAGGTGTTCTACTAAGAGTTTATCCCATCATCTTGGAGCATGTACACGAAATAATCTTCCGTAATGAAGATACTGACAGATATTTTTCAGAACACATGATTGTAAATGCATGAGATGTATTTTTTGGTCTGATAATAGGAAGTGGACTAATTAAGAGAATTAGTCTCTTCACTTATCATGATAGCTTTATCAATCATTGTAAGTTCGTGATTGATGAATTCAAGCTGCAGATATTAGTGTCTTTTTCCACTTTGTAAAGTTACACTACTTGTGAGGGAGGTAGGATATCCAATTATTTGTCAAAAGATGAGTTTATGGTCTGGTTAATCCGCTCTTTTTCAATACATAGATATTAAAAGTGGCTTCTGAAAGTAGGTAATATGCACAGATTACAAGTTTTGTAATGTGTATTTGAATTGTTGCTCGTATACGGTGGAATTATCAAGTGAAAATGCTGCGGTAAGAAAGAGAGCGTAAGATAGAGATGATCAATTGGTTGGATAGATTATAAATCTAAGTCGACTAAACTGACTAAGACTTTTGTATTACACATCTAACCACCTTCTACCTTGGTGCGCTATGTTAGTTAGCAAAGAATCAGGTTTGTAAGAGTATAGAAGCAGCTAAATAGATATATAGGATCAGTTTATTATAATAATAATAATTTATATTCTGAAAATAATAATTACAGAAGCTGTTCTCTGTTAGTCTGAGTCATGTAGGTGAGGAAGAATCTTTCATTGGTGGTGAAGATATTTAAGATCTACAGTTTACGTCGTACAACTTGAAAACCACTTCAATAATATTATTTTATAACTATTAGTAGCTTTTTTTACTCATAGACTTTGCTAGTTTCAGTACTATTCTTTATTTTCCCTTCTTTATCACTCCTAATAATTTATCATCTCTTATATATGATAACTTGAATCGATACATATCTCTGGTAGGCCATATCTACATCTATTGATGATTATTGTATTACGTAACAACTATGTACATACGGAGTTCGTTATTATTTACAACTGTTTGAGGTGCAGATTTGTGATTAATAACATGGTAGAGATTAATGATTAGTTAACGTTCATTCTTCAATTTGGCAGACTCTATTTATAGCTGGAAAAGGATTAGTAAAATATTTTAAACCTCTGTCAAGAAATAGTAAGACACATTGTGAAATGTAATTTTGCTTTCGTCGATAGGATTAGGAACCTATATGAAGCTAACACATATGTTAATGGTCGGTATACAACTTTCAATTATAAATATTTTTCATGATTGGAATGATTTTCGGTATCAGCATATAGGTGACATATTTCAAGATGTATAGACAACGTATAACTTTTTGTTCAATAGGAACTCTCACAGATAACGTGACGACATTATTGTGTAATAAACTGAAATTTGATTTTGAATGAACGAAGGATCGCTGGATAGTTGGTCGAAGTGGTTCTAGTTGAGTAGCTATTTTATTTTGTGAGAAAATAGTGTTCGTAATATTCTTGGGCAGATTGTTGAAATAACATATATGAGGGATGTAAAGAAACCAATATTGTAAACTGGGGATCATATTCTAACTTTCTAGTGCCTATATCAGTCAGTTTATATTCGTGTTATATAAATCTTGATCATTCATACGATTTGGTCTTAATTATTCAGTTAATCAGTCTTGAATCATAATCACGTTACTATTTCGTATAAACGGAATGCATCGAGTAAAAATGTCAGTCTGTACAATTTCTAAAAAGATAGTGAAACTTACTTATGATTAATAGGTAACACTTCATTACCACTTTCTCTGGACAACTGTTTTTCTTGAATTTCTAAAACTGTCTCCAAACTACTCATTCGACTATTCATTTGTTCAAGTTGTAGATTTAACTCAGAATTTTTATTCTCCAAATAATTCAGCTGGAAGATGAAAAGAATTAGAAAATGTATAAAGGCGAATCTGGGTGATTCTATTATGATTTTAGATGAGAAAATAAAAAGGACCATTCCGAATTTCAAATAGAAACTAGTGAATTGCTGAAGCAGCTGATTCTGACGTCACAAAAAGAACCAGACTTCAGAAGATCATCAAAAAATGCTACATTCAACATAAAAATACAAAGTTAAGGTGTGGAAGAAAACAGCCTAAAAGAATATTGCTTCAAGATGACATTTATTGGAACTATTTCTTGTAATTATACAAAAAAGTGGTCAGATCATGCTTCGAAAGCGTCTCAACATATACATAATAAGGCAAGTGGTAGAGTGCAACGTTTTTTTATACTAACCAACATATAGAAACTAATAGTTTTAGGACAAAGATGTATATAACCAAGCTAGCTCAATCATGATACGAAAATTATGTCTGAGCAGACTCAACGATTGATATTAAAATAATTTCGGAGTTCCTTCTAGTAAATGATTTGAGCTTATTCAAAGAAACAATCAAGAAAAAATCCATCAAATATAAATGAAGTTTACAAACCAAATAATGCCAAAGAATTGTTTAATTACGTTTAAGTCTTGATTTTGTTTATAGTAATATAATGAGTCGTTATGTAGAATTTGTTCACAATGTGGGATAGGAATAAGCATTTATGTGTGTCTTTATGTTATTCTTAAATTAAAGATTTAGTGGGTAAATGAATCTTCTGACTAGAATCAGGGATATATTCATCATTTTCGTTTACTATAAATTGATAAGTACACTTGAGTAAATTTAGGTAGTCGTAATATATGTAGGATGCGAACAGTAAGAGTTAATTGTGATGCTAAACATTGAAAATAATTGAAGGCGACTTTCAATTATGATAACTGACTGAATTATTAGGCGTCGATCTTTTAGCTGAAATTCAACTACAGATTGTATAGATAGGGTGGATGATAAGGTTCGAAAATTTGTTTGTTCATTAACAGTTGTCACGATGCAACTAATTCGATCATTTTTCTATTAAAGCTATTCTTATTTACCAATATAAGAATTGGTTCTTTGTGAATGAATGCCAAAACGTTTCTGAATTTTGATTCTTTTGAAGTTGGTCTTATGTCCTGTTTCTAATGAATGCAGTGCAGTTATAGATATATCCTCTAACCTATTGAGGTCTAGTGAGGATTTATGGGGCATGTTTCAAACATTGTTTATGCTTCTTTAACTTCACATCCAGTTGCTTGAATGTTTTCCCCAAACATGAACGTTAGAATCACTTAGGTTTCAGTCCCCGAGATTATTCAGTATAGTTTTTACAGTTGTCTTTACTATGATCGGTGCCCAATTTCTGTGAAACTATTCGCTTAAATCTGTACAAATGATCATATAACTCAGTCAATTCCGGTGATTAGGGAAACGTCTAATAACTCGTCAACCGTTAACGGATTATTTATTTTACAGCATTAATAATATTACATCATTAAAAAAACAAGTGATATTATACGCTGATAGCTAGACCATCAATTTAATTATTTGCTGGAAACGTTAAAAAAGATATTCATACTCTCGAAACCTACATTTAGACAAAGAATTCGATGAAAGCAAAGGTCATCAATAAATAGGAAGTGGCAGAGTAAAAAGATACATAGATTAGAAATCGAAAAGTCTAATTCAAACCATTTAGTTAAAATTTATATATAACCTTTTCTAGTAATTCTGTATCGCAAATACATTTATGTTGTTCAAAAGAATCTTCCTTAAATGTATTTCTAGATGAAACTCTACCCAATCCAATGTATTCTCGTATTTTGTTCAATTCGTCTAAAGCTTTCGTCTGACTTCGTAAAAGATATTCATTTTCTTGTTTCAGTTCACTAACGAATTTGTTGGTGTAATTGAATTGTAGGTCTTCTGAATTAATTCGATCAAAATGACCATCATCGTTTAAATCAGCTGAATTCTTATTTAGCCTGAAAATAAATTAATATGACTTATTTTTAATAAATCTATGATACGCAATTTAGTGGAGTTTTGTTCACCCACTTGAGCTACAAATCCTCACCATCTATGATACATACTTTGGAAAAATTAAAAAAATTACTGATAGAATTGCAACATGTTTTACATTGTATGAATGATAGTTTATGAATTAAAGCATTGAACGTTTGAGTTACAGATTTGAACCCTGCTAAACCTAATTAGGCTTATAGTCAATAAGGAAGTTTAATAACTATCTTCACTAGCGCCTAAATATAAAGTATGGACTAAAATCAAACAAATGAATCTGTAATCGGTTATTAGGTTGTTTTTGATTAAACTAGTAATTTGCGATCACAGAAGCCCTAATATATACATACAAAAGGACAATGTGCCCTTAATTAATAATAACAATAATATACTCTGAACATGATAATAGAATTTATTACAATTTATTATTTTGATCAGGTTGATACAAAAAAAGAGGCAACATTGAAAATTAGAACACGTCTTTAGAACAGGCGCGATTTATAAATTTTGACTAAACATTGGTAAATAACATGAAATAGATAATCAAAGGTGGCATCGTTGTAAAGCACATCATAATTAATAGAATACACACTGTGATAGTAATAAACTTTGCTAGCATATTGCTGTCAATAATAGAGGAGATGGCAATGTATGACAAACATGATTAGATGTTTTACAAAGGTTGCACGCATAACAGTAGCATCGTTAGGGTTTTCAAAATGGTAGATATCACATTTTTGCTAAGGACTACACCTTAAAAGATCTAAGCGTGGAAGATGAATAAAAATAATTATTCTCTGAAGAAGTGACTTACACTAAATCACGAAACGTCAGAAAATCTAATTTTCTACTCATTGGAATATTACAAATATATTATTTCTATTTATAACAATCAACCCAATGCTCAATTTATTCGAAATAAGCGTGGAAGAGTTCGATTTTGTTTTTTAAATCGTTTTCGCGTTAAATATTAAACGGCAGTTATTGTTACTGTACAGGTTTGTAATGCACTGTGTGATTGCATAATGTGTGTAATTTATTGGGAAGAATTGGTCTCTGAGAGAGACTATTGAAAATGACTACAAATTTTCAAGAATATGTACATATTGCTAAGGAGTTCTCTTTAATCCCATCTTAATACAAGGTTAAGCAAACAATGGTTTATAATTAAATGGAGGTGAATATCGAATCGACAAAATAAAATTAACATGTAGATACGATAAGTTCTTTGGATGAAATTGGGTAGATTATTGAGAATTATGATCAATATATGGAACTTATAAACGAGAATTTAATGAATTTATCACTTATGCTGGTATTGTTAATAGAGAATGTGAACGCTTCCAGTTGATCCCCCTCTTTGATGACCAATTCGAACGTCATTTTTATATGTGGGTCTTCAATTTCCAAGATATGCGGATATCCACACATCTTCCTAGTCAAATTTAGCAACAGCTCGGTGATAACTTTACAAATAGTTATTGGAGCATGTCGGTAATTAATAAACCTAGAATCATTATATGTAAAAAAACTATAAATATACTAACGTTTCTCTTATTGTGATTCCTACTTCCATTCACCCTTATTATTTGTAACATAATTGCGTTACTGTTGAACTGTGTTCTGATTTGGGGACTTGTCGAGTGAAGTAATGTTCAAGAATGCTAAGCGATTAGTAGCTGGGTAGTAACATGGGAAGTTATAACGCGGGGCGATTTGATTTAACAAACAAATTTATGAATGTGCATTATTCATTAAAACTGTTATACTAATCAGATATATACAACTCTAGAAGAGCATTTAGAATCACTTTTTAGATCACTTACTTAGAAATAATCGAGCTTATTGACAATTTTCTAGTGCTCTTATTGCTTATTGTCGAATTAGTGAGTTCAGCATCATTGTTCATATTCTGAGGGCAATTGAAATGATTGGGATTTGAGATAAGAAAAGCAGACGGTGGGAGCAAAACTTCACCAGTTTGTTCACTTTCCATAATCTCTTTGTAGGCTAAGGGAAAAAAGTTGGCGAATATCTGCAACCTTTATGTGCGACATAAAACACGAATTAATCTACATTTGATATAACAAAATGTAAACTTGTTTGGTGTAAAACTGATCATCAGCAAAACGTCATTGTCAATAGCTATAATTTTTGAAAGGGTAATGTCCTTATGAATTCATCAAATGCATTATGATAAGTTAGTTTCTAACTTTATGATAACATTACCTACAGGTTACAGTATTTATTTTAGTAACACTCTTATACAAACACTGATGAGTTTAGAGTTAGACCCAAAATGTTAAGTGGAAATGGAACGATGATCTTTAACGCGTTACAAGAAAGTTGAATGAAGGTAGATATTGCGAAGTAGAGATATGCGAAATGTTATCATGATATGAAACTTTGACTAAACCTTTCAAACACGTGAAGTGGATGATTCACCCTTCAATCAATACGTTTTTACCCAAGTGTTTACAACAAACAACCCAAAGACTACTTCAGAAAATCAAGATAACCCCCATAAATTGCTATAGCCTACTGAAAACAAATCTGCCAATTCACTGACGGCAATAGTATTAGCATTTTTTGAACGAATTATGGAGAAATCGTAAAAGTCGACTGTCTATTGTTGTTTAAACAATAATACTCTATAATGGATCAATTCCTCATAAGTAGTTTTTAATCACAAGAACAGAATATGAAATTTGATTTATTTCGATTTCTTAATAAAATTAATCCATGCACATTTCTAACTTTTTATTTTATGAAACGGTGAAAAACCAACTCATGATTTACTGCTTATTAAGATATGAGCTCTGAGCGGTAAATAATTAAGTAACAAGCTAAAATGAACCTCAGTAGAAAAAAAGCTGGTAAACAAGCCAATATTTGTAGATAGAAAACAAGAAACTGTCCATAAAGATACAATTAACACCACGACTTGGTCAAAGTTTAAGTAGAAATTCTCCACGCATGGAGACAAATTTTCGAAAAGTATAGCTTAAACATATCTTGCATAGATGCTACCGTTTTATTTGTCAATAAAACAAATCATGGTAATACTTGACATCGTATCAGTATTTACAGGAATTTTTAACTTTATCAGAATAACTAGTATGGAATTGTTAGACAAGTGGTAGTACTGAACTAGTAAAATAATAATAAGTCTATGAACACTTAAGGAAATGCAAATAAAATCGACATTTCATTGGAATTCATACAAGAAAACAGAAGAAATGAATAATAACAATTTATTTCAAAACGAAGTAACATATTCCAAAAAAATAAATGATTTCTGATAGAATATAAGTATGCACGAAATTGGAATAGATGCAAGATATATATATATATATATATATATATATATATATATATATATATATATATATATATATATATATATATATATATAAGTTGTGGAAGTAATCTCATAAACAGATTAAAGAGGATTTATTCAGTATGGGAAATAAAAGAGGATTTGTCAACAGCTTCGTGTCCATGCCGAAACATAGTTAACTGATATAATAAAATACCAGCAGCAACGGATACATTTAAAGATGATGTAATACTTTGTGATAGACATTGATTTAATTTGGTTGAATCTCCAAAACCTGGTATACGTAGTAATAAATCGCAAGCATTTAGAATATTTTCGCTGAGACCCCGTGATTCACTTCCCAGGGCTAATACCAGAGGTCTAGGGTAAACTCCAGTGTTATTGTCATCATTAGCGCCCACCTGAAGTAATTACAAACAGTGGGATAATTACAGGACAGTAATATAATCCGACTACAAACATTGAAACAATAAGTTTGTTTCTACATAACTTGGCAATAATTCGGTTCTGGAGGAAAACAAATTTGCAACATTGTATATAAACTACTTGGTTTCTTCCTTCTCAAAATAATACATTTATTAATTTATCACATAGAGCTCTCAAAATCTGCTTGGTTGTGCTGCTGCTAAATGTTTTTACCCTACTGGACATCATCCAGTAAATCAGTGTCAGCTTTTTAGCATAGTATCTTAACTTCAAAACATTGATGGAAGGACTAACAAAATCTGTAGTGAAATTTTTTTATTTTAACCACAATCACAGTCCTCACCTGAAAATAGAACAACACAACGTATTTCGAACACTTAATCATGTAAAAATGTATTTCCAGTCAGTCAGTCACAACGTACAACCTAGTACGTATGCACATTGGTTCAAGTTGCTATACTCCATAAGTACAGAGAGATGAAATTGTCAGGGGGTGGTCTTTCTAGTAGGTTACTGGGATGGACTTAGTGTTGAAGTTCAAGGTAAGCGTAGTAATATTTAACAATGAAAAATATCTGCCAACTGAAGCTGCTGCATCATTTTTTTCACCTAAACTAACAAACAGTCAACTAAAATTTTAAGAAATACCAAAAACAACGGAGTAAATGGAATAAGGAATTGTAAAGTAACACGACTGAATATATATCTCAAGATTTAGGGTTGAATATGCTTTAGGAAGTTTGTCCCGTCGAGTTTTATACAGTGCACTATATGACGGTAGTATTGGATTTAAAAAGTGGAGACGTAGTCAATTTATGATGTGGCGCCGTAGAATAACTGTTTGGGATTGGGATCCGTTTGTCTACCAAGAATCCCTGAAATGAGTCCCAAATAAGCAGTATAGTAGTTTGAGGCGTTGTCAAACAAGATTCAGAACAAAAGTCAATAGGAATCTTAGTATATTTTTCACTATGTTCTCCAAAAGTTAGGAGAACCCTCCAAACTGTGGATGTACCTTTCAATGAACACTATTCTCGTTAGTTAGTCCATTTTTATATGACCTTGCTATATTTTGCAACATTACTGTTTCAATCTGTGGGGGCATTTTTGGTGTCACTTTTTAATACCAAACCTTTTTGTTATAGGTAAAAAGATAAAAGAAATTTGAAAAACTACAGAATAAGGATTACGTTTTAGAAACAGATATAATAATATTCGGATATCTTGACTGAAAAAATGTGCTGAAATACGATAAGCCTTTATATTTTTATGGTTGTTTACTTAGCATTCGTTTTTATGTGTACCTTTAAATGTTGTTTATGTGATAGCTCATATTTTGCATACGTTGGTTTATGGTGAGCTGTCGATATCTCGTAAACTGAAAGGTGAAACACTTTATTTACTATAATAATCCAAAGATCGAGACGATTGAAAACGATATGCGAACAAATGGCTGAATCATGTGGAATTTAATACAAAAACGGTTCATACCCTTTTGGTTACAATTTAATGGTTTATTCTTTTGTATGTTTTCTATGTTTTTAATATTTGTGAGAATATTTTTATGAGGTTCTAAACTTATGGTTATATGTTAAAACATCGGAAACTATTTTACGGATATATGCGAATATTCGTCAATATTTGAACGAATAGTTTGACAGATACTGTGCCCCGACAATAATGTTTGACACATATTAGGACCAAAAAATGAAGCACATGGTTTCCCACAGTTTATGACAGATTATTACTAAGTAATTAATTCAATACTCAGTTCAAATTGTTGAGCAATGCGGTCGCTGAAAATACTGGTGAGTCTGTTACATTATTTACAGAACAGTCAGTACCTCATCCGGTTTCAGAAAATTTGTAGATTTGGAAGCTCTAGTTGATGGAAGTTGACTTTCCCCGCAAGTACCAACTATCAAAAACCCAGCATTTGATAAGGATTTCATATCCATTACTGTATCCGTTAACCTATAAAATAAGATACTTTCCATTGCGCCAACACTAATTTTGCTTATTAGAGGTGATGGGCTGACACACGGAGAAGTAGATAGTATGACCGCAGATATACCAAAGAATGCCGCTGAACGCAATATGTTCCCAAAATTCATGATATCCATCATATGATCCAGAAGTAGAGCAGTAGGTCTATGATACTTTTTCGCGTATGGCAAACAGCCTGATAAATTATTCCAAGAAAATAACAAATTTTTAATCGACGAGTCTGAAATAGATTGTATGGTTGTAGGAGAAACTTCAAGTATTACACCCTGATGGGCTCTTGAATTACTTAATTCTTTGAGCTTTTTGACTGGTACTCGAGTTACTGGTATGCCATATTTGAGTGCTTTCTCGGTTATTTGAGATGCTGATGTCTCTACGAGATTGTTGGGATCTTTGCAGTTGCCCAATACGTCTTTGACGTATAGCCGGTAAATATCGCGATGACGAAACGTAAGAGCACACAAGACAGGATGAATTCCATATAGTAGCTCAGATGACTGACGAATTCCTCCACGAAAATTAACAGAGGTATGAAATTTACAACTTAGTTTGCCGAAGAATGTGACCATTGGTAAATATAAGTTGTTTCTTGGCTTAAAGTAGTAACATGAATCGACCAATCGGCAACTGAAGTCCAGATAAAAAAGTAAAATAGATGTCAGGACGAGTTCCATACTGGAATCGGCACACTGATTTTAAAACTTATGAATAATACGTACACTAGATCAAATCAGTTATATCGAACTAAATTGAGTTGCCATAACTTCACAGACATTGAAAACGGTTAAGAACCAAACGGGTATAATCGTATGAAAACAGGTAACGTTAGTGGGATTTCATCTAATGATTTCTGATAAGTTAAGACCACATTTCAGTAGTCTACAATCATAAAGCTTTAGATTAGGGGAGACTTCTATTAATATTTTATTGTGACCACTATGACTGATTGCAAGGTGTCAGTTATACAATATATATCCAAAATCATATAAACCAACGAGACAAAACACCACGGGAAAATTTACCTTCTCACGAAATCCTATGCTTTGTGGGAGGAATATCCAGTTCGCATTCACTAGGTGCTTCGAAACAGCAAATAATAGAATTTCCGTATCCTATATTCATAACAGGGCGGCATAATGGATTGGATTAAGTACAGGATACATTCTGAAAAACTGGAACTTAAGTATTCATGTCGGTTACCCTAATATATATATATATATATATATATATATATATATATATATATATATATATATATATATATATATATATATATATATTGAGAGGCTTAGAATATGGTTTTACTAACAACATGCCAATACTACTGACTTAATAACATTCCTGGATTTTTTAATTCCACCTGTTAAATTCTGTTTTGGTGAGCTACGGTGAAGTAAATCAAAGTGCAGGTGAGTATTCGTTTAATGCAGCAATTTATATTACCAAATGATATATGGTTGTTTCATTACGGTATGACCAATCGACTGACACTATGGACAATAATAACGGAACCGAACTACTTCCAAGAAGATATTAGAACATTTGTTTGGTCAAAATGGTTCTCTTCATTCCGGTTCCAGATATCTAATCCTCTTTAGGTTGTTTTTACAATACGATAAAGACGAGCTCATGGATACATCTAGGTTCAGATTCAGTTACTGAGTCGTAACAATGTTATCCACTCGATGCTCATAGTTTTGGAGAGTCATATTAATGGTGGGTCCCGAGTTACAAATTTCCTTTATGAGGTTCCAGACATTTTTTTAGGGTTTCCAGGTATTTGGTGCAGGATGGGACATAAGAAATCTAGAAACTTTATTATTTTTGTTAGCCTGCACAATTCCTTTAACTGCTTTGTGATTGCTAGGTATGAGTGAAGTCATTTATTAACCCTTTTTGAAAATATAAAGTTATAAATGTGGTGGTTCTTTAATTAAAGAACCTAACATTTAGTAACTGGGACAGATACTTCGATTGAATACCCAGGTAGTATTCCTGACATGTGTCATAGAAATTAGCTCGGGTGTATAAATATATCTGAACACATAAATATTGACACAAAGGGCACCGAATACATATGCGCCGCACACATCACTTGATTTGTGTTTGGGCCATGATACTGCCCAGGTGCCCATACTGAAGCAGGTGTATTAGGAATCCTGATTAATAAATAACGATATGCTCCTAGCATGTCAGTGGAACCAAAGTTGTGCCCTAAAAAACCACTGCAAATTATTGTAATCAATATCAATAGATAACAAAACTACCGATGTTGCTAACGACGTTAGGTATACTATACTTGAAACCTTAAACACGATGAGTTGGGATTATGACGGTTTTGCTATTAAAAATTATTGGACTTGTCTTCACAATTTGTATGTCGGAATTTATATGGTGTCTGTAGATCGTAGACTCCGCTAAGAGGTTTTTTACGGTCTTAGAGGTAGAATCCGTAAATAGGATATAAAAGTAGGCCAAACGTAGACAGGAATAGGCATTAAGGGGTTCAGATATATAGTTATCACAATCAAATAGTCTACGCTGCGTTACTAATTGAAAAGAATTGCATTATACCTTAAAAGAAAGCCCTGTATGTTCTCACAGATAAAACAATTGCAAAAATATATTCACGTAATTCACCACCATTACACGGTTGTCAATTTCATCGTATTTACCAAGTTGTTTACACAACAGTAAAGTTTGGCATGTGACTTCACCAATAACTGATCTTTATTCTTACAAAGCTACTAGTTTAGACTGAATAAATTTGTGCAGTCTGATACGTATCAGACTGATGTACATCATACTGAACTTCATAGTTATTCGGAAGATCAGACACATACTTGTGAAGGTTTAAATAAATGCAATCGAAGTATAGGTATTTGATATGCAAAGATGTAACTATAATTACAAGAATATATATTTCCATATTACTCCCGAGTAGGTTATTTTGACTGATCAGTAGGAATAAAATTGTTTATTAATCACTAATCTTCCTACTTATTCCCAATAATTTATTGCATGTGGGGTTGTAGAATGGTTGTATGTCAGATGTTTATTTTACTCTTATTTATTAGGGCGACAAGCACATGATTACCTTGGTAAAGGCCAAGAAACCAGTTTAGGCGCCGTACTAGGCTGCTAAATAATGCTAATATGTAGAGTAGAATAACAAAATTCCATCAACATTATAATAGGCTTGATAAGAATAACATTATTTGCCAGTCAGTGACTAATTAGTCGTAAATTTATCGGTCCTACAAGAAACCAGTTGCTCCTAGAACGACCAAATGACGTTTCAGATTGTGAATGTGGAGAGCCAAGGAGTACCAGTACCTCCATAACTGCATGCATTTCTTTCTCTGAAATGTCAGATGACATGAAACCTAGGTTTTGGGTTTCCAATAGGCTGCTGAACTTCACCATTTGGGTTGGTTTAAACTACTAGGTTGAGGTACATGTGATTATTGTACTCAATATTTCGCGACTTTTTATTTGTGGCCTATACATCTTCATAATCCGACATCTAACTCGCAGTAGGACGACTTCTGAGGTCCCTTACCACATCCGGTTTCTCTCCAATTACTACACATCATTTTTTAGTTCGGATTCAAAGGTGCGTAAATCGTGGTAAACAGTTTTTAAGCTAATTTTCTAAAGGCTACTGTTTTTGGATGATAATATATCGAACATACATTTGAAGTCCCACTTTGGTAACTCTGCATATGAAATGGAAAATCGTTTTCATCGTATTTCCTAGTGTTCCGTTAATGAACATCATTGGTACGGTAGCCTTCCACTTTCTTAGACTTACTTTAAAATCCAGACTTACCTAAACAACATCATACGGATTTTTTGAGGTCTATAAGCTAGATTTCAACGTGTCATACAGCTTGATCAACGTGTAGAATACGAAAAATTAACGTTGTGTACTTAAAGTCACAGAAGTCAATGGAATTTGATCTTTTAAAATAAACTGCCAAGCATAATCACTATGTCTATAGAAAAAATATACGATAGTTTATTCACAAATAGCGAGGGCTAAATATATTCAACGTTTTTGCAGTTTTGTTTTATGACTAAGAAAAGGAGAAATCAGCGAATAAAATCTTCTTTTCGACGAAATCCTTTACTTAAGCTGTACATTCGTATATATAGTTATATGGAAAATGTGTGCCTATAGGAAGATAGAAAAAACTGCATCACAAGAATGGATTCGAGAATAAATAACAAATAAGGTTACGTACTAATCAAGGGGTAAGGAAGAAAATCGTTTACGGGCCAGATAATAATCCAGCTGACAGACAAACACAAAGGTCATAATGATAGACTGAATAATAATCAAGAAAACTTGTATAAGGTAATAATAATAACTGATTAGAGTCTAAAATGCAAAATAGCAATTTTTAAAAAATTTGATAATAACTAAATAAAAATGCAGAAAAAAACAAAAAACAAGAAAGCATAAACATACCGATTAAGGGAATTAGGGCCTTGGATGAATGAGAGGTTGGACAAATCGTATCTGCACGCAGAGTTTTGGCTTGAGTTCGTGAATCGCCAGTGCCCCAGCAGTGCACAAAATATTGATTCGAGACCCCTTCGAACCAATTTCCTTGACTCTGCAGATCACTTTAAAACAAGAATCCTTGGGAGCGACGTGTCCACAATTGATGCTCCTTTATAGAACTAGCGATCGTTTGACATTCTATTTTAAAATGCCAAGCCGGATAGTGTCTTGAGATGCGTTCGGAACGTGGTCGCTTTGTTCGGCCCGTGGAACGTACCCCACATGAGCAAGTAAAGTTATAAATAGATATTGATGTGGCCCAAGGCGGAAGTTTATCTTTAACACATCCAGGAATCGTAGGGTGTTTGAGAAAACAATTCGGGGCTTAACTGTGCAGAAAGTTCCATTCAATGGTTTTGAAACCCTTTTATTTAAGATTTCAGCAACCGTGTCTCCTTTAACTTCCATATTCATGAGCAAGGTTTTCTTCTGTACTGTCGATCCTTTCTCATGATGAATTCTAGTTGTTAAGTTACTATCGACAAATCTAGGTCGATAACCGTTTCTGATGAGAGTTTGTCGAAGCTGAATTAGTTCCTCATCTGTTGTGTCAGTGGAACAGATTGGCTTGATCCTAGAACATGGGGAGTGAATTAAGTTTCTCTTTCTACTCAATGGGACCCAGCTATGGAAATTAGTGCACTGCCCATTCCAGGTAGGTTTTCTATATATGTAGATCGCTGTAAAGACCATCAGGCATTCTTTTTAATCAGACATCAAGTAAATGGAATTCATTGTCGTATTCGTCATCACCTAGCTATTCATAAAAAGGTAAGGAAGTACAGTTTATTAGAAGATACTGGATAAGTTGTTTAAAAGAGAATAGTGCCTTGATACATCCAACTTAGCACACGTTTTGAGAAGGGAATTTCACAACTGACTCATGTGCGCAATCCAACAAAAACAGTTTAATTGCATATGGCGGTTTCCAAGGTTAGGAAAAGCCTAGATTGTGAAATTTTGTCAGAGGAGGTGAAATTTTCACCCCTCGTTTATCTGACTGGTGCACTGGTCATTAACGTTTGAAATTTCCAAACTTGTTAAGGAAAGTGAGGAGTCCAGTTTCATCAATAGCCACATTTAATTTTCCTATCTGTTTGATATTTGTAGAGCTTGGAGCAAAGTGTTCGGTCTTTTTAATTACACGGGATGCTAAAGTCCGCTGTTCTTCAAATGTCATGGTAGCCATTATGGTCTCGCCGGACACTCCCTCGGTAAATCTTCAGCATCAAATCAAATATCACAACTGGGTGTAACACTCTCCCGAAAACTCTGGGATTAACTCGTGCTACGGCTGATTGTTGTTGATTACATTCATCATAAATTGCTAGTGGACTCTATTGCTGAACCATGAGTTCACTTTTCTTCTGTTCTTTGCTTCGCAAATTTTCTTTGAGTACAATACATTGCAGACATTCCAGCAGTCATGTCAACTTCAGGGCAGATGCAAACAGACACAATTGTTGAGTCGTAGTAACCAAAGTTGAATCATTAAGAGTCAACCAACAGCTTTATATTAGAACAGAAGTATTCTGATCAAATTTTGAAGTGGCATAAAGTTGTGTCCTGATTATTCTCCTTATATCCGTCTGTTGACTGGAGAAACGTTTGTGTTTTTGAATATAATCGGCCCGCACTTCACTTGCGAAATTCGTCGAGTAGAATATAGCATCTATATGTTGTTTGTTTCAAGTCGAAGTGTCTTTCAATTAAAAATATCATGAAAAGTACCGCATTTAGTTGCACTCCTGCCGGTACAATCATTTGGAAGACTATTCATACTCAGAAATGTACCTTTCATGATTCAATTTGTTTGTCACCATGTCAGTAATCGTATGCGATGGGATCAGTGAGACGAATCCATAAAACCCATTCTGATAATGTGTATAAAAGTGAGTGGGTATTGCACTGCTCACACTATCGCTTTGGCACACATTGGCTTTTACAAGACACTATTAATAAGGACGAGCAATTTACGAGAGCAAACACTGACGGTATGAATAAGCGGAAAAGAAACGACTGTACAAGTTCATTTGATACTCAGTAAAACGGTTATATAACGGATCTCATGGAAACTGGATCCTCGATTATATTTTCTGAGTTAAATTTATCAAGGAACAGGATGAATACGTGTCCTGATATAAGGTGATTTGCAAATCAGTAGCCTACGGTAGAGTAAAAGTTTCCTAATTTACCATTCGCATTAATTCATGGAACTGAACGCTAGGAGGGGATGCGAGTCGGTCCTTGTCTCTCCTTGAAGATATCGCACTCGAAAATTACTTCCAGTTAAGAAGCTTGGCCAACAAAGCAAGTGAGACGGAAAATTTAAACTTGGCTTGTAAAATGTCCGGGGATGCTCAGAAGGCTCGAAACAATATCTGATATTGGACCAACTGGCTGGACGGAAGTGTCACATTACAGCCAGTCAGTCAGTAACAACGTAGAACTTCATACGTACGTACATCAGTTCCAGCTGCCACACCACATTAGCACAGCGATGCAGTGGTCGATTGAAATCCCGTAGTGCTAGATGTAGCAAAATTATAAGCTGTAGTCAGATAAATTAGAGTTTGAAGATGTTATCACATAACAATACTATTAGAAACATAGTTTCCATAGAAAGTAATCGAAACAGATGAAAACACCGCATTATACAACTATAACCCCGATGTTATCGGCTGCGAAAACACTGTAGTATGACTCATAGTGAACCAGGATCAGAATGTCAAAGTCAAGTAATATGACACAAAAAATAACAGAATAGTTAAGATGGTAATAATTCAAGAGTAATCTGAACTGAATATCTAATACGCAATATTGAAAAAAGCCACTACTAATAAATGTTATAATTCACAAACAGCTTATTGCACATACGTGTCATAGAGAGACCATTTTGGGTTTCTTCAAAAATGCAGCTGTATACATGTTTCAATAATACTTGTATAATATTCACCATATTTAAACAGGTTCTGTGGAATTTAGAAGAATATTGACTTCAAAAACGGAAGAAAACACATGTAAGAAACGTGAAATACGTAAATTATTATTATTATTATTAATGGCTTTATTCAATATTATATTTTGGTACAATATAGAATTCTCAGCACAGGGTATTTCAACAAGTTACTTACTGAAAAAAAAAGAACAAATAGGCAGTAGCAAATACAAAAAAGAAATTTTTTTTAAAAAAAATTTTTAAATAAATTTTAAAAAAAAAGACCAAAAAAAACTGTGCAAAACTTTTTAAAATTAAAGACATGTTAAGAATGTAAATTATTAACTAGGTTATTTCTAACAACCTGTTCGTCACATAGTATATTTGCTAGGTAAGGAATTATAGAACTTTTATACTTTTCCTTACGTGCATGGATTTTAATGTAATTACGTCTCGTTCTACCAGAAGATATACAAGGAGAAAGATAAGAGTGAAGGGGATGGCTAGTATCTGATAAAATAACACCTGCCAGGAGTTTGCATGATTTTAAATGTCTATCCACAACCATATTAATTATGGCCTCGAAAGATTCACCACACATCTTGCTAACTGCCTTCAGCACTCTTCGCAATACAG